ATTGTCCTGTGGAGTTTTATGTTTATTTTTTTTTATAAGTCTTTAATCAAATTCTTAAGAAAATGAATTTCACCATAAATACCTGTGGTGAAAATAATTTGGGGACACAGTGGTATGTTGATCTAACATTATTTCTTACCTTTTAGGCCACAGAGTAAACTTCGGGAAGCATGGGTAACACAGACAAAAGCAGTTTATGATTTCATGAAAAGTGAAGAAAAATGCCATGATCTCCCAAAATGTAACGAAGCTGTGCCTGAGCTGTATACTGATGGCCTTGATGATGAACAGGTGAGAGAAATACAGATAAAGGGTATTGTTAACCCATTGACAACAGGTTTATATATGTGCTGACCACTACAATTCTGCTATGTAAATTACCAAGCTCACTTAACCTCTTAGATTACCACATTTATTGATCATTTGGAAAGAAAGTTTTTGCTTTTATTACTCGTTCTTTTAATAATTTTAGAGTAATACTGTATATAGTAATGATAACATTAATTATCATGATATCATAAATAGAAATAGTTACTCCCTTTTCCTAAGAATGCAAAGAACAGTTGAGATCAGGTAGGCCAAGTAATTGAGTCCTTGATAACTAAGTGCTTGTGAACCATCTGTTTGGAAGCAAAATTAATACAACAAAAGCATAATGGACAGTGCATGTAGCTGCCTATCTCCAGTGAGTTAAGACAACTCTATTTCTTTATTTATATTTCCTTTTATAGATAACTATATTATTATTTTTCATTTAGTGTATTCTATTTTGTTTTTAAATAATTACTTAATAAGGATATTTATTTTTTCCCAAAATTAGCTTCTGGCTTGTTATATATACATATATATATATATATATATATATATATATATATATATATATATATATATATATATATATATATATATATATATATATATATATATATATTGATTTATAGACTACTTGTTTGTTAATGGTCTATATTCTTATTTGTATGTGAATTGTCTTTCAGATCTGGCAACTTGTGGAACTACAGAACAAGGGACTCTTGGCTTCCCCTGAGAACCTTGAGGGTCTTGATGACTCGAACTTGTGTTACATGGTGGCCAAGCTCAGCAGCCTGGCCAAGTATGATAAACTAGGGGTGGAAGAAGATGAGGGGAAGAATGAGGGCTTTGATGGAGGAGGAGACGAGGGGAGCAGTGGACTGGGGGACGAGGAAAGTAGTGGTCTGGGAGACTCAGAAGACGGTGGTTTTGAAGATTTTGATGATAATGAAGATGACTTGGGGGAGGCTGAAGAGGATGGGATGGAAGATGACGAGGAAGAAGACAGTGATGATGATCTACTTGTAAAGCCTGAGGATATTGAAAAGACAGGGCTGAATCTAGATTTTGGCATGGACACTGATGATGAGCCAGACAACTTTGATGAACTCATAGCTCCAGAAGGAAAGGAAACAGACGATGAGGAGGAAGAGGAGGAAAATGAAGGGGAGGAGGAGGATTATCAAGATGAAAGTGGGGATGACTCTAGAATAGAAAAGGAAAGATCTGAAAGGAAGGGACCTGTTAAACCCTCAAACTTTGCAAGAAGTAAAGTTGATTCAAAATTCTTCAACCTGAGAGAGAGTGAGTGGATAGCTGATAATGATATCCTTGGGCAGAACTATGATATAAAAGATGATGATGTGGATTATATGCAAGATATGTCAGATGGTGAAGAAGAGGTAAATTTCCATCATATATTTTTTCTTGGATATGTGTGTGTGTATGTATATCTTGCTTGCATCTAAATTATAGTCTGTGTACAAGTCTGTCCATCTATTTGTCTCTCCATCTACTATTTATCTTCTAGCTTTCTATCTGTGTCTATGTTCTAGTGAGATATATGTTTTAGCTCCAGACCTCCCTGAGGTATTATGATGTTCTAAGTCTGAAAGCAACTCTTTTATCAAACTCACTCACTCACTCATTCCCTCATTCACTCATGCACTCACACACACACACACTAACTCTATACACATTTGGGAATATTTCATAGGAACTTATTAGTAATATTAGCTCTAAAATTATGAGTGTTACCTGAAGAAGTACTTAAAAGAAGGAGTAATATATAGTAGTGGAAGTGGTGGTTTTAGCTTTACTGTTACAGGTACTGCTGATAATTTGTTTAGCTTTTGTTTGCATTTGTAGATATATTTCTCTTAAGCCTGTAAATTTTTTATTGGAGGACTTGGTGAAAGATGGGGGGGGGGGGGGGTTGGAGGATACACACACACATACATATAAACGTACGTACGTACACACATACATACATACATACATACATACATACATACATACATACATACATACATACATACATACATACATACATACATACATACTTACATACATACATACATACATACATACATACATACATACATATATACATACATACATACATATCTATATATAAATATATATATAAATATATATAAGTATATATAAAAAAAAATATATATATATATATATATATATATATATATATATATATATATATATATATATATATATATATATATATATTTATATAAAATAGGCTTGTCTTTTTTATTTGTTATTTCTTAAGTGCCTATGCTGATTTTTGTTTTTCCTAGATGCTTTTGGTTGTATACTGATATATATATTTATCTTTTCCTTTTTAGGATGAGGTTATGTACAAAGACTTCTTTGATGAAGCTCCAGATGGTGAAAATGCCAACACCAATGGAGAGTATGAAGAAGAGTATGAAGAAAATGATGAAAATGATGCAGAGTCAAGAGGTCGAGGATTTTCTGAACGCGGAGATAATGAGGGCGATTCATCTACAATGCCTCTACTTGGCCAGAAGCAGTTGGAGGTAGCTGTTGGATAAATATTTTTCATTTGTTGCAACTTTTCTTCTTCTTCTTCTTCTTCTTCTTCTTCTTCTTCTGAAGATAAGGGAAGGAATCTGATATGTAAACGAGATTGTACAATGGAATGTTGGTGAATACCCATTCCAGATTGGATCAGTGGATAATTACTCGTTCTATTTTCTTTCATCTTAAGACAAAATCATCATACGAGAAGGAAAGAGAGAAGGAAATGCGAATGATCAACACCCTCGAGGAAGACGTCATTGCAGAAAAGCCATGGCATCTTCGAGGAGAAATCTCAGCCGCTAACAGGCCAGAAAATTCAGCACTGGAAGAACAGATGGACTACAATATTGGAGTTAAACAAAGTAAGATTCGTATTGCTTGCAGTCCTATGGATGAGAAGTAGTTTAGGTTAATATGCATGAGGAGTCTACAAGTGTGATTTACTCTTGTTTTATGAGTGCTTTGTTCATCTGTATCTATATGTTCCCATAGATGTTTGGATGTGAGTGTAAATGTGAATCTATCTCTTAGATTATTATTTTTAGGGCAAATCTGTGGGAGATGATGTCCTATTTCTTTTTTATCTTTTCTTCGGTATCATATAGTAGTCTAATTCAAATCAACAAACACTTCAGCTGTTAAACTCATACGAGTTTAACAGCTGATGTTGTTCTTATGTCCAATGTGGAAACCTCTGATGTTTCCTCAGATCTGCTTAGACTTTATGGAGGAAGAAAGAAGGGGTTTTATTCTGGTGTATATAGAGTAAATAGAGTAAAAGTCAACAAAATGGCCTCATTTATGTAAAAAATTATATATTTAATGGATGCGCATGATATTTTAGAGTATGTAAATAATGTATATTATTATATAATGTTTTTTTTTTTTTTTACTTAGGGGTATAACTTTACCTCCTCAAAATCTCAGGGATAGACATGGGAAGCTTAACCCAGTGTCAGTGGGTGGCAAGACTACAATGTCATGCCCACTGTAATAAGAAGTTCATCTATTGTCTTTACATCTAGATGGCTCTACAAGCGCTTAGTCAGCAATGAGTCAGCTATAAGTCTTATTTGTCTCATCTTTTTACCTTTTTCCTTCATTTTTTGAAAGCTTCACTTCTATTATTTTATTGTTTTTGATGTTGTTAAGATTTTAATAACAATTTAATTATCATAATATCAATACAAATGATAACAATGCCAGTGGATTATTAATACTATTAGAAAGAAAAAAACATTTTCCTACAAATTCAAGGAATGGGGAAATCAAGATTGGTCACTAGGGCCAACTGATAGACTTTTTGCTACTGAGCACATATGGAGCCATCTGTATGTAACAATTATGCCACAAAATTATGGCTCCAAAATTCCAGGTTGGCCCTTTTTAAGAGTGGGGACATCTTCCAGGGCTACCACACTTTTCTTAAAATTTAAGATTTGTAACTGGGAGGTGTCTGCCAAACTGCCTATCTGATTAAGTTCATTTGTTGACTATGGTTATGTGCCATTAAAAAGTAAATTTAGGCCCCTGAAAGATAATTTCTCTCTCACTTCTAACCTTTACATGATGTGTTACCTTTCAGAACCAGTCATCACAGAAGACATAACAACCCTCCTTGAAAGGGTTATATTGGGCCGTATCCGGAGTAAAGCCTTTGATGATGTAGAACGTAAAGTGAAGGTTGCAGCTGATCCCTTTGAGTTCAAGAAAAAGCTTCTTCTGGACCAGGAGAAGTCCAAGCAAAGTCTTGCTGAAATTTATGAGCAGGTGAGGCAGGGAATGACAAAAAGGTGTAGAAATGGTAGAAAGACTCACTATTTACCAACAAAGTTTGTTGAAAGAAGAGACAGTAATATTGATATTCTAGGTTTTAGATAGAGGAGGGAAGGTATGTTAGAAGTTAAGGTAGAGGAAAGACAAGTCAGAGCTGTCTTTTCCACTCAGGTTACTCTACGAGAAAAGATGTGGTTGGAGCCCCTGATATATTTACTTGTATCTAAAGGCTTTAGTTCATGTTCTTGATCCTGCTGATACATGTTTGTAGACATGTTTGTCATGGTGATAAGAACGCATGTTTATGATTCTTAAAGTTGATAGGAGATCACATTCTTTCCAAAAACATT